CAACCAATGCCTTTGGAAAGCTTAAGCCTCGCTTACTGGATGTTCGTGAGATTTCACTGAAAACGACAATCAGTGTCAATCATTCTCGCCACACTTCTTTATGAGTCAGAATAGTGAACGCCATACAGGACGCATATCAATCAACTTGATGCTTTTCATAGAAGCTGTCTTTGTTCAATATGCGGTTATACACTACAAAATCAGAATCTCTAACCCTGATCTTTTCATCAAACGTACCATCGGTATTATCGAATCCTTTCTGATGCAATCACAATTCAGATGGGCCGGTCATGTCATCATAATGAGTGATGATCGGATACCGAACATCCTCATGTATAGCCAACAAGGTGGTTGTCAGAGATGATGAATATTCCGACTGAATCCAAACCGCTGCACAACCCATGGTCACTGAAGAAACCGCTGTGGTGTGTCGAAACGGACACCCTCTACACACTTTACTTCTAAGCACTTTTTTATATACAAGGGAGTGTTAGAGAACATTAGTTCTGTTACCATAGCAACAGTCGATATTTTTCTTCAGAGCTCGTTATATATATATATATATATATATATATATATACGAGGTCTGAAGAAAATATATCGGGACTGTATTTTTTTCTTCAGACCTCGTATATATATATATATATATATATATATATATATATATATATATTTTACAGACCTCTTGTATATATATATATATATATATATATATATATATATATATATATATATATACGAGGTCTGAAGAAAATATATCAGGGCTGTTGCTATGTTTTTTTTTTTTTTTATAAATATATATATATATATATATATATATATACATATATATATATACATATATATATACATATATATATATATATATATATATACATATATATATATATATATATATATATATATATATATATATATATATATATATATATATATATATATATATATATATATATATATATATATATATATATATATATATATATATATATATATATATATATATATATATATATATATATATATATATATATATATATATATATATATATATATATATATATATATATATATTATATGTGTGCGTGTGCATTATTAACTAATACAGCTTAACTGATATTGTAAAATAATCATTCAAAGAAAAAAATCAATAAAGTTAATGTAAAAAATGGCGAATTAATGTTTAATAAAACATCTTTCGACAAGTATCACATTTTCCTCTTAGAATTTTACCAGAAATTATGGGAATTGAGAAAGAAAATAACATCTATGCCTTGATGTTTTTACCGAAAGTACTTTCAAGCAATATGGACCGAACATTTAATTCATTGTACAAATAACAAAACAAGGATCGTGTCGTTCAGCGTGTGGTCAATGAGTTAATGCCTTCTTAATCTGTGAGCGTAGTGAGATCGCCATTAATTACATTAACTTATTTATTCTTTAAATAATTATTTTTATAATATATATATATATATATATATATATATATATATATATATATATATATATGCGCGTGTGTGTGTGTACTTAATTTCGTAACATTTGTTTGTTAGATTTTTCTATATAGGTGAACATCTTAATGATGGAACTATAAATACATGTTTCGTTAACAATGCATTAGCTATTAGCTGAAATTTGTTTAGCTTAAAATGCATGAAGGAAATAAACATGTAACAGGTCACTGAACATGTTTAAATGTTTAATCGCATCGTATTAGTGGTTGTTGTTTTGGAGGCGCTGCTATAGAATAATAAATGATAACATTCTTCAAGAAACTAGGTTGAATGTTTGAGAAAATATTAACAAAATTAAGTTAACTTTTATCCATTGAAAGAATAAAATGTATTTTTTTTTAAATTCCAAGGTGAATCGAATCCAGAATTAACTAGACAAGATTCCGTAAAATCGAGCAAATCTAATGTTCCACTTATCGCCGATAAGAAAAGCTCATGATTAATTTGTTGTGCGTATTTATTCAGTCGTGAGAAATTAATTTCGGATAGTTTTTACATTGTGCTATCTGTCCAAAATGTATGTGATCTTACAGAAAATACATATCCGAATAATTTTCAACATAGAAAAGAGAATATGGGGTTAGGTTACATTATGCTATCTGTCCAAAACGTGTGGGTTCTTACAAATGATTTTAAACCAGGAAGATTTTTGAATTTTTAACTTCCCAAACTGTCGATTTTTTATGCTCATCGCCCCAAAATACAATTATCTTTACAGAAAGATATCGTGGGAGGTTCTAAACAAAAGGTGTAGGATATTGTCAATTAAGTTATCAGAAAAAGGTAGGTGTGAAGAAATTAGATATATCAACTTCAAATTTGAGTGGAGGAGTCGTCTATATAAGCGAGAGCTCCGCAGAGAATCAATGAAGCCGGTGCGGAATTGAGTGAGAATCGACAGGCTGATTATTACATTAGTATTTGCTACTAGATTTCCAAAATCCCCATTCTGCACTACTAAAGGACTTGATTTTGCAGTAGATAATAGAGAATTTTTATTCAACCAGTAAACCTGTTGTTAGAGTTATCAAGACTATTTTCCATTTTATGGAAGATGTTATTCCTCCAGCCTGATTCAGAACTGAGCTTAGCCGTAAAGAGATACGAGTTACCACGGCCACACATGAATTACGCAAATATTTATGTGGTTCACAACGAGCACCGAGGGTTCCACACTAGACTTCGCCGTATTAACATAATACCGCGTTATTATGGAAAAATTAAACCAACCCTATCCAGACGACACACTTGGCACAACCAAGTAGGGAAATAAAAGTTAGATATCGTCTGAGAGGAAAAAGAGGAAAAACGACTGAGAAACGGTGCGCCTATCTGAAATGAGATAGGCGAGGTTTACAAAAACACGTTAAGCATAATACGTATATTTTATTATTTATTAAAGGTGTTATGGTAACGCCCACGCCTTACCCAACATAGATGCTTACTGTATGATATCGTTCTTCGTGTATAGAAGGAGGGATTACGATGTGTATATCATGACAATAAGTATGATAGTGTTATAGAGTAGTTTCACAGTGGAGGCTTGTATTTCACTAAGTCGGTCCTAAAATAGGTTCGACGTACAAAACGTTAGGAACTTGATATAATAGTTAATGACGCAGCAATCTAGTTGTGGTGATTGATACTTTAATATCCGACTAAAGGTCGTCCGACATCGACTGACTGACCAACTCACGACTGACTCGTTACTATTACTACTACTACTTATTATAGGTGGGAGAGTTTATTAACTATAGAATAGGTGTGTTCCAGTATAACAGATAGATTGCGTCTGAACCTAGAACAGAAAAGCTTGATCGTAATGATTTGGAAAGCATCCGTTTGATAGTCTGTTCTACAATGTAACTCTATTGGAGAAGAAACTGTTTGGGTATAGTTTAATCCTTAATGGGATAAAAATATAATGAGTCAGCTCTGTCTCTCTAAAAATATACATGTCTTTATTTCCTTTTCCAGTCTTTTCATTCATTGTTTTTTTGCTATCTTTTCAACACAAATATTTTAATTTACCAATTCAACCCGAGCGCGTCGCCATATTCCTTACTAGCGCGAAAGCGTTAGCACGTTCCTTTCCTTTTTTATGGAAGAGCCTAGATTGCTGGTGAACTGAATGTTAACCATAAATGGAATATATAAATTGCCAAGAGAACTTGTACCGTCTGATTAAACAGTAGGAAAGTTGTAGCTGACAGACGGCACACAAGTCGATATCCAATTCATTATCGGCTCGATCACGATGCAGAGGAGGTATTCTGTTGAAAGTCCCGAAACACCAAATGAACTTCGGCTAAAACCATCACTGATGATGTGCGGCAAAGTACCAAACAAATGTATTTCGCTAAATATAGTTTCTCCTTTATGTGAAACATTTCTTAAATTGATTTATTGAAATGATTTTTTTAAAGCCTCACTCTATTAATCACCTGAGAGACCCCTCTCTGCCTTCCATCCGCATGGCTGATGCTGACCCCCAGGAATATCCCTTGTGCGCCTTCTCGGACTCACGTTCTCTGCTGATAGGAAGTGGAAAGACTATATTGGATCCATTGCTAGATTACTTGCTAGGAAAATCGTTTCACTCTGTGTTGCGAGGCAATTTTTATCTCCTGAATCTATCTTACATACACCTTTGTGCAATGTCATTAGAAAAAAACGAATAATTCCGTTATTATTTAATTTTTTTGTATTTATTCAATGAAATATGACGTAATGCGCATGGTAAAACTTCGTATGTCCATTCCACGAAGTCTTACATTGCAGATTGACTACAGCTTCTCTACTGGATTTAAATCAAGTATGTTTCCGGGTCAGTTTATAGTACTTTTATTTGCTAACTGATAATTCTTGCCGGTGTGTTCACGCAGCGTTACAATCTTCGTACGCTTCCTTCCATCGCAGACAATGGCCGTAGGACAAATAATCGACAGTTGAGACAATAGTGTCTGAACGTGATGAAAATTTGATGCAATCACGGATGAAGCAATATTATTCCAGGGCAAAAAAAATTCATCATACACTCCGGAAATAGATTTATATTACTGCACACTACTGCAAATTACTTAATCTAAGGAAAAATAGAAATTGATTACACTCCGTTAGTCCAGTGGATCTAAAACTGACCATGTGTTGAAAAAAAGTCAACTAAAGCAGTCTTATCATTTAATTTGCACAAGGGTCTATTTATAATTTATAACATTAATCCATGATTAGAATATTGCTGTAAAGAATAATCGGGTGCCCCTGTTATTTACTATGAGCTCTTTGATAAGATCCAAAGAGGAATCAGCAATATTATTGGTCCTCATCTGGCGGCTCGACTTCAATCACTTACACAGCGCCGTGTCGTTTTTTTTTATAAATACTTTCATGATAATTGTACGAATGAGCTTTTCACTATGGTATATAGAGTGTATGAATTTAAACACCGTACTAGACTGGCTTTGAGATCTCATCAATTTATAGTTTTTTTTTCTTTTTCCGTTCTTTCTTTCTTTCTTTCTTTCTTTCTTTCTTCAGTCTATCACACAATCATAAGCCTGCCAAACTTCACCTTCTTTCTTTCTTTCTTTCTTTCTTTCTTTCTTTCTTTTTCTCATCCTCCTGCTAATATTTCCCTAAACATTCTTCTTTCTTTCTTTTTTTCTTTCTTTCTTTTTTCTTTCTTTATTCATCCTCCTGCTAATATTTCCTAAACATTTTCTTTCTTTTTTCTTTTCTTTCTTTTTTCTTTTTCTCATCCTCATGCTAATATTTCCCTAAACATTCTTCTTTCTTTTCTTTCTTTCTTTCTTTCTGATTTTTTTTCTCATCCTCCTGCTAATATTTCCCTAAACATTCTTCTTTCTTTCTTTCTTTCTTTCTTTCTTTCTTTTTCTCATCCTCCTGCTAATATTTCCCTAAACATTCTTCTTTCTTTCTTTCTTTCTTTCTTTCTTTCTTTTTCTCATCCTCCTGCTAATATTTCCCTAAACATTCTTCTTTTCTTTCTTTCTTTCTTTCTTTTTTTTTTTCATCCTCCTGCTAATATTTCCCTAAACATTCTTCTTTCTTTCTTTCTTTCTTTCTTTCTTTCTTTCTTTTTCTCATCCTCCTGCTAATATTTCCCTAAACATTCTTCTTTCTTTCTTTCTTTCTTTCTTTCTTTTTCTCATCCTCCTGCTAATATTTCCCTAAACATTCTTCTTTCTTTCTTTCTTTCTTTCTTTTTTTTCTCATCCTCCTGCTAATATTTCCCAAGGAACACATTTTCTTTCTTTCTTTCTTTCTTTCTTTCTTTCTTTTTTTTTTTTCTCATCCTCCTGCTAATATTTCCCCACATTCTTCTTTTTTCTTTCTTTCTTTCTTTTCTTTCTTTCTTTCTTTCTTTCTTTTTCTCATCCTCCTGCTAATATTTCCCTACACATTCTTCTTTCTTTCTTTCTTTCTTTCTTTCTTTCTTTCTTTCTTTTTCTCATCCTCCTGCTAATATTTCCCTACGCATTCTTCTTTCTTTCTTTCTTTCTTTCTTTCTTTCTTTCTTTCTTCAATCAATGTATCACACAATCAACCACACAATCATGTGCCTACCAAAATCCTCCTTCTTTCTTTCTTTCTTTCTTTTTTGTTTCTTTCATTCTTTTTTCTTTCTTTCTTTCTTTCTTTCTTCAATATATCACACAATTAATGATATGCATTCCAAAATCTCTCTTTCTTTCTCTCTCTCTTTTTTTCTCTCTCTCTTTCTCCTCCTCCTGCTAATATTTCTGTTCACACACTTTCTTTTCTTTATCTTCGCTTTCTTTCTTTTTTTTTTCTTTTTCAATAGTTTTTCTTATTCTGGTATTTATTATGTTATTTTCACCATTTTGGCACAGGTTTTTTATCATTTCTCTTTCACTCTCATTTCTTTTTTCTTTCTTTTTATTCTACTATATTTTTCATGTTGTAATTTCTTATATTCCCATTTCTTTTGCTTTCTAATCTTCTTCTTCAGCATTTTTTATATCTCCAAATTTATTGACCAGTAAAAAGAAAGTAACGTATTATTCAAATGTCTTATATGAAACTTTTCTCTTAGAGTATATATTACACTGGTTCAAGCACAAAGGAACAATATACATATACAAATTACATACACTTACGTATATGTTATATGGGCAGGTGGCCGAGTGGCTAGAACATTCGCATTCTTAACATGAGACTAACCATGGTCGATTTGTCGGGAAGGAGACTTCCTCAATTTATCGAAAAGAGGTGTCGATACAAGCAGACGGCACATTTGGTAAATGTCTAAGGACAATACATCGGTTTGACCCAAGCATTGTGAGTGAATCTATGTAGACTGATCCCTGTGATAGCACGAAGTCACAAGACATCGTGGCCAAGAGCTTGAGAGTGCTGGTTTTGTGCAAATTGTTGATCACGCCAGATAAAAAGCTCTTTCCCAGAAACTGTAACTAAGTTCTAATCAGTATAGTTGCAGTATAAATTGGTGTTGATTAAACACAAATGCGCTTGAGCAAGCGTCTGCAATAGGGATTGGTAGCCGCTCCAGTAGACGGTTATCATCGAATACAAAGGGCAGTTATATATATATATATATATATATATATATATATATATATATATATATATATTAGTTAGTTATTTTTATGAAAATACTAGGTAATCCGAATTTCCAAAAACCTAAGGAGAATAAAAACCAGAGAGCTCAATGTAAATCCAGAGCAAATAATTTAAATAAAAACAGACCACTTTAATGTTCCATGTAATAAATTATTTCACCACATTTTTTTAAAGGACTCTCGGATCATCAGACTTTTTATATATATATATATATATAAATAAAGATATGTTATACACGCACGCACACACACACACATATATGTATTAATATATTTTGCGTCTATACATTATTTCTATAGATATAATTCATTTAAGTAATTCCTCTGTTTTTAATTAATTAGTATTAATTACATTAAAC